TTTTGGACTGTGTCTTTGGGGGCTCCTTTAACACTGAATGGTAATAGATAGACGACAAGGATTGAGATCAGGTTAGCCAATACTTGGAGGAAGGAATTCATCACCAATGGGATCTCATATCCAAGTTGATCGCGGGGGTCTAATTATCGATAATATTTATTTATTTATATCAAATGGCAGGCGTTTTGATGGTTATCATTAGCCCTTTAGTTGACTTCAGGCTTCACAGAGAGGAGAAGGAACATCAAAGTGACAAAAGGTTGAGAGGGGGGGGGGCAGAAGAGTGTTTCAAAGATGAAGGTAGAAAAGGTAGAAAAAGGTGAGGTGAGTACTGTGGAAGGGGTCGAATATGAGGTGGAGGTAAGTCTATCGCACACCCCACGATCGATAATATAATACATGAGAGATAGATGTGGAGTGCACCAACAATATACGATTAAGGGACCTAACAGCTCCTGCACCTAAGGCTAAAGAAAAGTTAATTAATGACAATGCAACACCATAGGCTGATAAAACGTCGAACAATAGCGATGATCACTTTGATAAAAAGAACGCCATTTATTCGGGCAAAAATCTGCTACATATGAAATAGTAAATTATTTGAGGAGACAAAAGGCCATCTTAACGGATATAAGGATTGCTTTTAAGATCAAAGATATAATCTTTCAGTATTTCAACGCCAAATTTGAGTTCAGCTAATTCAGAAAACTCCGAGCAAATTCAATAAGTACACTCTAAAATATGTCTCTTTTTCTAAAATACGGACTTATTTTAATCCTAGCTCAAAACAAATAAACGATTAGAAACTCATTCATAAAAGTATTTTTCATGACTCGCACCTTATGATTTGTTTCGATTGAGTGGATGATGCAATTAACGGAGAGTTTAAGAAATAGCACAATTTAAAACTTACTAGAAATCTTGAAGACGCACAAACCTTCCTATACTATCCATATATCCACGAAATTCGGATTCTGTGATTGGAGATGGGGGAATGATTTCATTTTTGAAGTCTAGGATAGATAATTTACACTTTCAGTCAAAATAGTTTACTTTATTGTCTGAATGCAATAGAAAGCTTACTGATTGCTTTTTCAATGGAATTTACAGTTTTAGCCAACTGTTGGGAGACATTTTGAAGTAGTCCCTTGTATGCCATAGCAGATCGGATACCAGACACAAGATAACCAGTAGATAGGGAGTTAGAGATCGATAGTCTAGACGGTACGTTCGGAATCATTGAAGATTTAGGACTGCTTTGGTTGTCCAACTGATGTGGAGTGCCATTATCATTTCGTGAATCAACAACTTCATCATTGTCAACGATATCCCAACTTTCTAAAGTTTAAAAAAATGGGGCTTCAGCAGAAACATAAAGCAAGGCTGGAAACCCGAACTGAAATTAAAATGAACGACATTATCGATAACAGCTACAACAGGTCTACATAATAAGATAATCAAAACGCAACCTTCATAAAGCCTACTTACCAATAATACAACATTATAAAAAAATTAAAGCGAGACAAAGGAAAATGGATAAAAAATGTAAATGAAACAAACCTTCACTTTTTGCTCTGGTTTCAACATAAACACGGAGAGTCTTGTCGGAGGAGTGAGACAAAGCCTTCCGAAAATCACTGTCTGAAAGAAGGACACACTGAGTTTGTTCACCAAACCTGTCTCTTGAGAGGCAACTGATAGAAATGACGCTAAAGAATTAGAAGACTATCATAAATATGGCTAAAATAAACATAAATTAAACCAAATGGGCAATATCAAAATATTAACCTAGTAAGGTGGAGCTGAGCATATCAGTATGTATAAACGGTAAAATGTTGACAAAAAAACATTGTATATAAACGTACTCATCAGTTTGGATTGTCTGACGGATTAGATGAATAAATTTATTAAACGTAGTCACTGATGGATCCAAAACAAATTGGTGATATGATGGCAACCCACTTTGTGAAACAAACTATAAATAAATAACTTTGATAGTGCAGGTAAGAAATTAATACCAATATTAAAATAAATAGCTAGAGCATATAATCGTCACCATTATAGCTGTGGTGAAACCATCAAATCCAGTAATGTGATTTAAAACTTTGGTTTAATCAGTATATGAATAAGGAAAGCATAATAATTCTTCCGATTACCTTCAGCTTTACTCGAATACTACCGCTACTCTCCATTAGCTTCAGCAGTGTACTTACGGGCGAATAAGCAAGCTCGCTTGAATAGCCAACGCAACAGCTGATGTAGACTGAGTATGAAATTATGAAGCTGGTATGTAATACCAAAAAGTCATGGGAAAATAATTGATACTTTATTTTAATTTCTTCAATATCTGGTTGAGATGAAATTGATCCTTTTTTCATAAAATATATTTATTTATAGAAAATAGTTGCACATTTAAATCACTCTTTCATAATTTTATCGCCCTGAAGCAATTAGGAGGTTAATGTATTTGGGCAATAATTTCGCTTTCTTTATTTTATCATATACATATGTGTATGTGTGTGTCTGCATTTGAAATATATTAATTAAAAAATGCTAATATGCGATATTAAGTACTATTGGTAATTACTTGAGGGAATTTTGTAAGCTCCAAATTCAAGTGCTGCACCACTCATCGTAATAAACAATTTGAAGCACCTTCAAACCTAAACAAATGTCCTTTGCGCAAATCAAAGTGCCATAGATGTTGAATGGGTTTTCTTTCAGATTAAACTCACTAATAAATTCTTACACTTACCACTGAGTCATTTTAGTATCCAATAAATCTAACAGGGCATACATGGAATGTAATTTTTAAGTTCACGTTCAGACAAATTCAGCAAGGTTTCAGCAATTTACAAACGCTTGTTATGTGCCAATTAAGACAATCCGTTTAGATAGCCATCTGGGATTAAATAATATTTACGGAGAAAAAAATTTACTAAGGTGCCACAAACACGCTTTTCATAACATGGTCAGTAGCAAGTAGAAAATATAATAGTTTAAGTTCCCTAGTGAATCGAATTCCAAATGAACGAACCATATTCTGCAAGTGTTTCACGATTCTCTAATTCAGTTTGTTAGAAATTTTCTAAATTCTATGCCTGACGGTTATTTCGGACCAATCTGCTATGTCTACTTACTCATTCGTTTGTTTTATAATGCGGTGCTTATTCATTTAACTAATCTACATCGAGTCCGAAAACTGTGATGGATTTGAAGGTTTCCATTCTCTCAATAAGATTTCAGTGTGTTTGAGTCACTCAAAGCTGCTATTACATTTTGTAGGGGGATTGAACTTGATTTTTAAAATTCCGTCGAACACATTCATTAAATAAAGTATCTGCAATGATGTTGCCATTCGTTGGCCAACAGGAGAACGCCCAACTTCACTTAAATTTGCATGCTTTATCACAACCCTATTTCAACCCCCTCTATGCAAACCTTTGTTTTCTTGCTCTTCCAATTTCTACTTCTGTCTAATGTCTCCACTGCTTCTCCTAAGTCTTGAACTTTTCATTTGGGAGCCATTGCTCAATCATGTAAATTTAAAAAAATCTCGTATTCGTTTGGTAATAGTCCTTTAATGAAAAGTTTAAACTCCCAACATTGCTTTACTATCGGGATTTGGTACTACAATGGTTTAGGCAAAGTTAATCAATATGAAGTAAAACTGCGTCCTTTGTAAGCTACTGCTGCATTTCCTCGGATACCTATTTCAAACCACCGATTATATACGAGCCCACCAAGCTTTTCGCATTACCATATTTGAGCAATCAAGCAAGTAAATGACTAATTAATTAATTCAAACCAGTTATCCTTCAAATTATGTTGGTTTGGCAATGAATACTTATATTTATTCCATACATATGCTTTTCTAAAGCACCAAAGGCAGTGTTCACATCCCTTGTCTTAGGTAAAGAAAGGCATCTTGAGGCTTCTCTATTTAGAAACTCGTATTCTAACAACCCAACTGCTGCTCAGATTTAACCAAGAAAGTTTGTCGATTATAACGCTTGAAAATGATTTGTGACATCTGACGGCACGTTAATCACCAGCATAAAATCTTCCAATACCTGACCTCAAGTTCCACTATGGTGACTCATTGAATTGGGATACATTTAGAAAGATGTAAAATTTAGTAACTAAATTGGTCTTTGGTTAAATTTGATAGTTGAGGTGGAAAATGAGGAAGACTTCCAGGATCTCCAACTGTTAAGTACTGGTTCCCTCTGTTTCGTATATATATATATATATATATATACATATATAAACCTAAGTTGAAGTCGCCAACTGTACTGTTAGTGCAATTCTTAACAGAAAAACTACAACCAAGTAGAGAACGTCGAAAAGGAGCCTTTACATGAATCGAATGACGAGACTGCAACCGACTCAATTTGCGTATACATTTGCAATGCTATGTTTGGAAAATGCTTCGAAAATAAAGTAGCCATGTGGGAAATTAGTGAGGTTCACAGTAAGTGTTTGCATCAATACTCTCCTGATTTGGGGTCAAATCTCCCACTGCAAACTTATTACTGACTGTTCAACCAATTATAATTTAGAGCGAACACTTCACAAAGTTAAAGCAAATATCGATCACAAATTTATTTAGCACTTTAGTTAGGAGCTATTGTCTAAAAGTACATCAAAAGAATTTGAATTCGCATAAAGAGCTCTTGACTTAAGAAATCAGAGCCCACAGCCCTACCTTTTTTAATTAGAGGAATACTCTTATCACAACTGTACCGCATCGAAATCAATAAACGCCAGTTAGCCTGCCAAAAAAACCCATACTAGTGTCACTGCTAATTGCCGAACTGCAATTTCCAAACATTAATTAAGTACAAAGGAATTTGTAATCGTGCCTTTTATTTCGAAAAGGCATTTTTGTACATTGAGAGAGGGAAATAGTAGTACTATGGGTCCGGAAAAATGCCATTTCTATTAGAGGAACACTTCGGTTAGAAAACGGGATAACTGGAGATGAGTTCAGTTAGAGGTCTTAAATTTTCTTTTCGACATCTACTCGTCTCTACCCATTGCCTATGGAAGAGAAAAAAAGAATGATAACGAGAAAAAGCAGTACATTAAAATATGTTAGTCTATAAAAAATTTTACCTTCAAAAGAGCACTGCCCATTTTGGCAGGAGACATAGAAACAACCACACCCGCTTCTTCGAGAGCTTTAATCTTCGATTTAGCGTCTCCTTTTCCACCGGCAATAATAGCGCCAGCATGACCCATTCTTCTACCAGGGGGAGCTGTAACACCGGCAATGAAAGAGACCACTGGTTTCTTATTGGGTCCCTAGGAAGCAAAATAAGAATGTCGAAACCAAAGCGCCATCGATTAAAAGAATTTGCGAAAAGGTGATGTTGATAACAAAAAGATAGCATACAGAGTTGTGTTCTTTGAGGTAAGCTGCGGCATCTTCTTCAGCTTGACCGCCGATTTCACCAATCATGATGATTCCCTGAGTATTGGGATCGTTAAGGAAGACTTCAAGGCAATCGATAAAATCCGTTCCGTTGAAAGGGTCACCACCAATGCCAATACAAAGGGATTGACCCAGACCAGTCTAATTTGAATAAAAAAGAAATAGGTTAAAAGTGCGATTGGAACATATCTATGGCGAAAATCAATTAGCACCTCAGTAGTCTGGTGAACAGCTTCATAAGTAAGAGTTCCAGATCTTGAGACAATACCGATATGACCTGGAGCATGACTGTGACCTGGCATAATACCAATCTTGCAAACACCCGGTTTGATAATTCCAGGACAATTTGGACCGAGCAAGCGGCATTTTGACTATAAGACAAATAATTATCTGAGAGCAATTCAATTTGGACGAATTAAACCACAGAGCTGAGAACCAGCTTACTTGACGCATAAGGCGGTGCTTAACTCGAATCATGTCATGTTGAGGAATGCCTTCAGTGATGCAAACAATTAAGGGCATTTCAGCCTCCATAGCCTCATCAATTGCTTTGGCAGCAAACTGAGGTGGGACATAAATGACGGTTGCGTTCGCTCCAGTTGCCTCCTTAGCTTCACCAACAGTGTTAAAGACGGGAAGGTCGAGATGGGTTTTTCCACCTTTGCCTGGAGAGACACCACCTACCAACTTAGTACCATAAGCCAAAGTCTGCTGAGAATGGAAGGTTCCTTGTTTGCCTGTGAAACCTTGGACAATAACCTTTGTGCTCTCATCTAAGAGAAGATTCTTGCGCGTTGCAGAGTAATTTGTGCGCACAAATTGCGAAATCACTTAAATAACAATTTATTTTCGATAATCACAGAGCATGAAAAATTCATACTAATATATGAAGAAATAGAACACTTACCTCTAGATAAGGGAGCGTTGAGAACAGCCTTAAACATTTTTGAATGCCGCGGCTCTTGTTTATTCCAATTCAACCTACTATAAATTTAATGCACAATTTAAAAACAATTTAAGCACAGTATATGTTTAGTTTTAATTATTTATTGACTAATAATAAGCAAAGATTACAAAATATAAATATATATAAATGGACAATTTCTTCATTTTCATTGGTGAGCGTGATAAGCGTATCAGAAGCGGGCATTTATTGCGAGTTACTGCTCAGTAGGTTTGCAATTTTGTTGATGCAAAATGGGATTCGACGGTGACGCAGGAGCCACGGAGACAAACATGTCCTCCAACTTGGAATTGGGTTCTTGCAAGATGATTTCGGATTTGAAAACCCGATGTGAGGAATTGGAAGACGCCTTATATATGCTCGATTCCACAAGAAAAGAAATTGAAGGTCAGATAAACCAGTGCTTTCAAACCATTTTCCGAACTCTTGAAGAACGAAAAGCTATTCTATTTAGCGATTTAGAAACCTCTTTACAGAAACGCCGAAAAAACATTGAAGAGTTGATTAAGAATATTGAAGAAAGAAGTCAAAAGCTTACGGTTACAACAGAAATGATTAAACAGTATCAAATAAGCGAAAAAGGATGCCCAAACGGCAACGAAAGCGTAAAGAATGAAGAACTCAATCACGAAAGCGGTCGAAAAAATGCTGAAGAACAATTGAGATCCCTCCTATCAGTCCCCATACCAATTCATCCTTCAGCTACAGACATAATGTCCTACTTCCCAATTGATCTAGATAAACTTCTGAGCCTCGTTAAAAACTTTGGCGCTATTGGAATGACAAGTGTGGATTCCGATCAAACCAGTCTGATAGAATCTGATTCAAATACAGCTCATGTTATGCAATGTGTTGCAGGTGAAGTTTACTTCCAAAAGGTTCGTGCTGTGGATAGCCAAGGTCGCGATGTTAATACAGTGAATTCAAAGGAGTTTTCAGTAAGTCTAACCAATCGGCCTGTTCAGATGAATGAGGTGACTGTTATTGATCCCAGCTCAAAATCGGATACTGGTGAACACGACAACCATGTCAAGATCCGTATCAGACTCGCAAATCCCGGTTTTTATGAGCTTAATGTGAAAGTTCTTGGTGAACACATACGAAATTCGCCCTACAGAGTGCACTGTTTACCCAAAATTGGTCCCTCGGCCAAGGAATGGCAACAGGTATTTAATGATCTTAGCGAACGAATCGAAATGCGACGTGGCGCTCTTCAGTATATTAAACGATCCAAATCGGAAATCCATCTTCCCAAACTCCAACCTCCTCCACAGGCGCTAGCGAACAAACTGGCTTGGAACAAGGTTGGAACAATTTTTGCAATTGGAGCCCGCGGTAGAGGTGTTTCAGAGTTTGCTTCACCTCAGGGCGCTATGTTTACCAGAGACTCCAAATTAGTCATTGTCGACAGTAATAATTCAAATGCACAGGTATTAGTTTAACTAATTTACAAAATATTTTTATTTATTTCAAATGGCAGGCGTTTTGATAACTATCATTAGCCACTTAGCTGACTTCGGGCTTCACAGAGGGAAGGTTCATCAAAGTAGCAGAAAGTCGAGGTGTGGAGAACAGAATAGAGATTCGTAGATGCAAGAGAGATAGACAGAAACAAAGGTAGAGAAAAAGGTAAGGTGAGTACTGTGAAAGTGATGGAATATGACATACAGTGGGGTGATGGTAGTTTGATGTCAGAAGTCAACTGTCGGTTTATAGACTTTTTTACCGTATGAGTATACGTTGCCCAGGATGCACCATGTGGAGGTAAGGCTATCGTACACCCCAATTTACAAAA